CTGGCACCTGAGGGCAATGGAGCCATGCCAGATCGCCCACCGACCAGGGCATGTCAGTTCGCGATCGACGCGCATACCTCTCGTTCCTTGCCTGCGTACGGGCCGTCGCACATCTGGCGGCTTCTCGCGCCTCTGTAACCCGTTTAAGCGAGTCCCGTACGTGATCAAGAAAGGAAGGGGACGGTTGTTTACCCACCGTACCCAGTTGCACATCAATCGGGGGTACATTCTCATGGCCATACATCAGAAAAAATGGCGAATATTTTGTGGACGCGTGCGGAACCATGCGGTATGCCGCCAGGACGCCCGGTATGTGCAAGTCCCAATCGGTTTGTTTTTCACTTACCGTGTGACAAAGCATGGCCGAAAGGGTGCGGTTAAACCGTTCCACCATGCCATCCATTTGCGGATGGTAAGGGGAAGTGCGGATTTTCTTTGTGCCCAGCGCAGTGCAAACATCCTTGAGCAATTTGGAGGAGAAGTTACGTCCCTGATCTGTGAGCAGCCCTTCGGGTGCTCCTTTATCCATGACATAACCATTCAAGAAAGCCTCGGAGATGGACGCGGCCGTTTGGTCAGGCAGAGGCCAGGCCATAGGCCATCGAGAAAAAATATTCGACCCCGACCAAAAGGTATTTGTTACCCCTAGCTGATGGAGGGAATGGGCCCAGGATGTATAGAGCAACTAGTTCATTGATACGGGATACCTCAATCGAACGTAGTGGCGGAACATAATGTTGCCGAGGCGGTTTCCTCTTCGCACAATCATGGCATGACCGGACAAAGTTAGTGACATCTGCCGTCATGCCGGGCCAAAAGAAATCCTGCTGCATCGCGGCCAACGTTTTCTGCACGCAGAGGTGCGTCAGAACATGCAGTGCCTTAGCCAGTGTCGCGAAGTTCTTAACAAAACGGCAATAGTAGGATGCGAACCCAATAAACCGCCGTACGTCGCCCACCGAAGTGGGCGTGGGCCACTCTCGGACACACGGCGTTTTCTGAGGGTCCGTGGACACACCGTCCGAGCTGACGATGTGACCCAAGTATCGGACGGACCGTTGCAAAAGGTGGCACTTTTTCGGTTTAAATTTTAGGTCAGCCTCGAACGTGCGGCTGAATACGATGATATCGTCCAAATATATGAGGCATGTTTCCCACTGCAGCCCCGCTAGCACCAGTTCCATCAAACGTTGGAACGTCGCCAGGTGCCGCATTCAATCCCATAGGTAAGCGGTTAAACTCAAAAAGGCCTTGTGGCGTGCGGAACGCCGTTTTAGGTTTGGATGCGTCATCGAGGGGAAGCTGCCAAAACCCCGACGACAGGTCGAGGGTGGTGAAAAAATTTGCCCCTGACAAAGCGTCCAACGAGTCGTCCATCCGTGGCAAGGGGTATGCGTCTGCCACGGATATCTTATTCAATCTGCGGAAATCTACACAAAACCTCGTTCCACCATTTTTTTTCTTAACCAGCACCACCGGCGCGCCCCAAGGACTGTTGGACGGCAAAATTATATCGGCCGCCAACATGTCGTCCACCGCGCCGCGCACGTGTTCCCTTTCAGCAGGGCTCATGCGATGCGGGTGCATACAAATCGGTCCCGCCACACCGGTGTCAATATGGTGCGACAACAGCGAGGTATGGCCGAGATCCAAATCGTTTTTACTGAAAACGTCAGCGTACTGTAACAACAATGAATACAAAGCGTTCCTTTGCGTGGTCGACAAAGATGTATTTTCCCCGCACAAATCCGCGATCCATCGATCCTGTGAACGACCATAACGAGGTCCATCAGCGGCTATTTTAGTGGGTGGTTTACCCTCAAAGCTGGTGAAATCGGTAGTGGCGTGAGCCAATACCGATCCAGCTGGAACGACGACCCGGTTCGGGCCCCCATTCAACACTTGTATGAACGGGGCCTGACCCGGCCGAATGATAGTTTGAGCCGCTACCAGGGAAAAACATTTAGCCACTGAATTCGACGGGGATAACAGCACACCCGTCGCACCATCCGCAGCATCCAAAGGTTTCCGGTAACGCAGCGGAATAAGCATCTGCGAGCCCGACGGCACCTCTACCGTGGCAGCAACCATGGCGTTTACTGCGTTACCCGGGGGCGAACGGCCCAGCAGGGAAGGCAGGAATGACATCCTACAGCCCCCTGGCATTTCTAAGCAACCTTGGTCGACAAGTATCTTAATTGGCATGCGGCGCAAGAAATCGGTGCCTAATAGGCATGGGACGGCAGTGAGCGAGAAATCAACACTGGTCCCTCCGCAGTAATATTACCGATAGCAATGCGCACATCAACTTGCCCGAAAATACCCATGCTACCCCCATTAGCAGCAACACACGCGTCATTAACCGGTCGGATCCGTGACGTGGGAATAGACAGGAGATGAAAAATGAAATCGGAAATGATGGTTGCAGACGCGCCTGTGTCCACCAAAATACGGACATTGATCTCATGATGAGCCCGACACGGCAGCTACCACCCTACGGGCCAAATTTTTCCATTGTGTACTAGAGTGTGGCATCGACACAGGTGTACAACAATTTCCATCCGGAGTGCAAATATGTGTGTGAGTGGATGGGTGATGTGACAAGACCGGCCGGGTGTCCGATTTGTGCCGACTCGCCCGAGGGTGTCGTGGATCCGCGCCCGGTGGAGGAGATGGAAGTCGACTCGACGGAAGCGGAGAAGCCAGAGGTCGGCAGCGGCAATCCCAGGCGAAATGACCCCGTCAGGCCACACTTGAAGCACGTGGCCGTTGTCGCCCGGCGGTCGCTCGTCCCGGACCCTGCACGTGGTTGACCCATATCATCACGCTGGTCGCGTAGCCGGCGTCTCGGGACCCAGCGCGGAACAGCAGCCATCACCTCGTCGTCGCCGGAGTCATCGGAGCAGTGGACGACCCGCCGTGGAGACCACCCCAACGGTGGACCGTCTATTTGGGGGTTCCCCGTCCATGCCGCCATCTGATCCCAGCGCTTCAGATTGAACTTAGCGTCCAAGCAGCGCGCCACCCATCGCGACGTGAGCGGTTCGTGGCCGCATACCGGCAGCGAGATGTTCAGTTCCTGGGATAGCTCAAGCATTCGGGAAAGGATGAGAGGATCCAGGAGATCAGTCGTCGAGTCGGGGTAGGCGGCCATGGCCAACGCTAACAGTGCCCCCCGGTAGGCCAAGGGCGATTCCTCTGATCCTCGACGACGTGACATACATTTTCTAGTAGCCGCCATCGGCGGGTCGTAAAACTCTGCCATCTCTGTGAAAGCATCACGAAGCGTCTTCTTCTTGGTCGCCAGGATGGATTGGAAGACCGCCAGGGAGACATCATCCAGCAGCGTGGGCAGCACCTCCAGTGCCTCCACCTCCGTCCATCGAACGGATCTCGAGGCCGACTCGAAGCGCCACGTGAAGGCACTCCAATCGCCCCCGGCGATAAATTCCGTAATTTGAGGAAGACGATGTCCGCGGTGAATGGCCGACGCCTCGAGCGTCTCTATTCCCGCTTCCCGCGTTCTTCGCGTCTCCATCAAAATGGCGTCCGGCGGCCGCATGGCGACTTCCCCGCCCAAGATGGCGTCCGGCGGCTCCATCACAGCCGCCCCGTCCAAGATGGAGGCCTCTCCCCGCGCGGCAGGAGCAATGGCGGACGTCGATACCCGCTGCAAATGTTGGTCCTCGGCAGTCGGCTGAAACCCCGGCGGCCGACCCAGGGCCGTTGAGGATGCGACCGCCGTCACCAGACTCATAAAAACGCATGGAGCGACTCAATCTGCTCCGCCATTAGCCACCATCCTTCGTCCGCATTTGAGGCCGTCGCTTCTGCAGCCTGTCGGCGATGAGCGGCGCCGAGGAGAGCAGCAGCCGGAGGCAAAGGAGCCGTAGCTCCCAGCAGTTCGTCCTCGTCCGTCTCAACTTCTTCCTCCGACGGAGGGTCCGGTGGGTTCTTTTTTCCGAGGTGCTTGGACATCTTGAAGATCGTCCAAACGGTCCCAGAAGATATTTCTGACACCAATGTAATAAAGCTCTTTGAGACGACTTCTGGAATCCGTCTTTTATTCACTTTTGGTTACAGCTGCTTCACGCTGCTGATAGGCAACGTGAAGGGACAGATAGACCGAGAGAGACGCACTGCCACGTGGCAACTCGGAGCCCCGCTCTCGCGTGGCTCCTTCCTCCGTTCGTTCCCGTTCTGACCACGTGTCGTTCCTCTCTACCCCTATTTAATACCCGGGTCACGTGGTACGCTTCAGCCAATCCTCGTTAGCCTGCATCGAATCTTCCAGGCTCCCTCGTCAGCTCCCGGGACCACGCCCCTGACTCATCTCCCCATTGGCTGAGGCCAAAGCCAGCAGAACCAATCTCCATAGCTGTCACCCTTCCATCACGTCAGGGCCATGCCCCCAGGTTTCCCTCCATTGGCTGTAAACCAGGACCGGCAGAGCCAATCACCATGACAAGTTGTGATACGTCAGTGAGCCGGATATATTCTCATATTACACCTGGTTCGGTGCGTAAACATCGTCACTTGGAAGACAGGCGGCCGTGCGTGGTTGCTGACCATCCACACCTCGTCAGTGTTGCCGTGTCGCCTCCTTCAAAGGTGCTCAGCTCGCACCACTTGCCCGTACATTCTACGCAAGGCAATACGGGGAACCTTTTATCTGTGCATGCGACCCTAAATCAAAACTAAACTATCTTTATTTTACCACGGAAGGGCCCACTGCGCTATATAGCTCTTTTTCAGAATCGACCTGGACACAGATGATAGCTCAACCAAGTGGCTTATCATGTGAAAAAACCGGAGGACCCCAAGAAAAATACATGCGACCACGGGGAGAGAGACACACAGAATCCAAATATACGACAGGTGTTAGGGTCGGGATCGTACCCACGACCTCCTGTATACCAGGTGAGGTAGTTAACATGTCGCCACCGTGGCGATGCCCCCCTCCTCCTCTTCCCCCCTGTGCCACGTGTGCGAGCATGCAGAGTCGTGCGAGGGTGTAGAGTGCGCGCCAGGCAAGAGGTGCCGCATGAATCGGCGCAACCGTCCGCGCTGTGTGTGCGCGCCCGACTGCCGAGAGGCGCGCCGGGGGCCCGTGTGTGGCTCGGACGGCCGCTCCTACCGGGACGAGTGCGCCGTGCTACGTGCGCGGTGCCGCGCGCAGCCCTCGCTCTCGGTGCAGTACAACGGCAGCTGCCGCAGTAAGTAAGGTGGTGGTGGCGGTGGTGGTTAGTTCGATTCACGCTCATGGACAACGCCAGTAACGATTATCTAAACCGGTTCTGGGCCTCCCATAAGTCATCTCAGCCTGAAATGAGTACCTGGTGTGATGTGTAAACATTTCCACTAATAAAACAAAGGCAACCGGCCTTCATAGGTGCTAGCTAGTATTTGCCCTGAACGTCTGTTAAGACTATATGGGGGAACTTTGTCTTTGGTGTCCTGTGCTAGTAGTCAGTCCTGCACGTGTCTAAGGTTTTAGATCCGAGACTCGACCCGCAACCCTGCGTCAGCACCACTAATCTTTGCATCGCCACGTGCACACAGACGCACAGATTTAAGACAAATATTTCCCATATAGCCTTTAACAGAATGTTGGCAAGCACCTACTAAATATTGACACATCACATGCCCGCGTTTGTCTCCCCAGTGTTGATGTTTGCACACTGCACCAAGTACTAATTTAAGTCTGAGTCTACCTAGGGGAGGACAAGGACCAGTTTTTTTTTATAATCGTCACTGATGTTGGCCGTGAGTGGGAATCCAACTCGCGTCACTGAATCCATAACGCACAAACACAATATCACATTAGGGGGGCTTGGCACAGCTTCACACGGCACCTGCCGAGTGTTGACACTGTGATTTACTGCGGGGCCAGCTCCTGTTACACATTGCCCAGCTCGTCACCACGGCGGGGACTGCGTGTTCCACCGAGCACACAGAGAGAGAGGAGGGCATGGCTATCGGTGTACTGCATGTAGCTCATACTGGCACCATAGTGGAGAGATGTTAACTACCTTGCCTGGTATACAGGAAGTCGTGGGCTCGATCCCGACCCTGAAGCCGATATATTGTGAGTGTGCATGTCTCTCTCCACGCGGTCGTGTGGATTTTTCTCTCGGTCTGTCGGTTCTATACCTTCACATTTAGAATCAACAGCATTTAGAGTATTGGCTGCTATACGTGTTCACATAATGAGCCACTTCGTTGAGTTATCATTTGTGATAGCCAGGTCGCTTCTGAAAAATAACTATATAGCTCAGTGGACCTTACCTGGTAAAATAAAAAAAATTGGTTTGTTCCATGATGATAACTCCCGTGTGTCTGACGCCGAGCGCAGCTGCGCTCGCGTGTGCCCGTCCGTGCATGTGTATTCACACAGGGAAGAGTGTTAGTGCAGTGGTGACCCCTGTTCCGATTCCAGCGACGGTGGCGAATATCTGAAATGGTATTTGGCCTCCCCGTGGTTGACTCGGCCTTAAATGAATACCCGTGTAATACACCATCAGCACTGGGCAGACACATTTTGGCAAGGTGTGGTGCTGGCCACACAACCCCCTTGTGTACCATTTCGGCCTTCATATGTGCTTCTTGCTAACAGAACGTACCCCAAAAGTATCTTCTTTGTCTTGACTTTGTCAATTCAATATTATACGGGGATCTTCGTCTTTGTCTTCGCACAGAGACGTGCGAGGGTGTGCCATGCCCCGCCGGCATGGAGTGTGTCCTGGATCAGCTGAATGGCGCCCACTGCGTGCGGTGTGGGCAGAGCCCATGCGGCGCAACCGCCATCTCCTCATCCTCGGGGGGCCCCCTGTGCGGCCGCAACGGTGTTACCTACGCCAGCGCCTGTCACCTGCGCCGTGCCACCTGTGCACAGGGCCGCTCCATTGGCGTGGCACACTACGGACACTGCGCCGGTGAGATCCTTCTTGCTCGGTCGTCCACCCAATGCTCGCCTCGTCCACCAATCTGTCCTCGCTCCATGCTCCTTCACTCTGTCCATGCTCCATCCTCCTTCACTCTGTGTTTGCGTCATCCTCCACTCTGTCTGCGCTACATCCTCCACTCTGTCCGCGCTACATCATCCTTCACTTTTTCCTCGCTCTATCCTCCTCCACTCTGTCCTCGCTCCATCTTCCACTATATCTTCGCTCCATCCTCCTTTACTCTGTGATCGCTCCATCCTCCTCCACTCCGTCCTCGCTCAAACCTCCTCCACTCTGTCCTAGCTCCTCCCTCCTCCACTGTGTCATCGCTCCATCCTCTTCAACTCTTTCCTTGATCAACCCTCCTCCAATCTGTCCACGGTCCCTCCTCCTCCACTCTGTCCTCGCTCCATCTTCCACTCTGTCCTCGCTCCATCCCCCTCTACTCTGTCCTCGCTCCATCCTCCTCAACTCTGTCGTTGCTCAACCCTCCTCCACTTTGTCCTCGTTCCATCCTCCTGTACTTGATCCTTGCTCCATGCTCCATTCTGTCCTCGCTCCACCCTCTTCCACGTTGTGCCCGCTCCATCCTCCTCCACTCTGTTATCACTCCATCCTGCTCTACTCTGTCATCACTCCTTACTCCTCCACTCTGTCTTCGCTCCATCATCCTCCATTCTGTCCTCGCTCCATCATCCATTCTGTCCTTGCTCAATCATCCTCCACTCTGTCATCACTTTATCCTCCTCCACTCAGTCCTCGCTGCATCCTCCTGTACTCTCTACTTGCTCCATCCTCCACTCTGTCCTCGCTCAATCCTCCTCAACTATGTCCTCGCTCAATCCTCCTCCATTCTGTCATCACTCCATCCTCCTCCACTCAGTCCTTGCTCCACCCTCGTCCACTCTCTCCTCGCTACATTCTTCTCCACTCTGTCCTCGCTCCATCCTCATCCACTCTGTCCTTGCTCCATCCTGCTCCACTCCATCCTCGCTCCATCCACCTCCACTCTGTTGTCGCAGCATACTCCTCCACTCTGTCCTTGGACCATCCTCCTCCACTCTGACCTCACACCATCCTGCTCCAATTTGTCCTCGCTCCATCCACCTCCACTGTGTCCTTGCTCCATTCTCCTGGCTTCTGTCCTTACTCCAGCCTTTACTCTGTCATCACTCCATCCTCCTCCACTCTGTAATCACTCCATATTCCTCCACTCTGTCCTCGCTGAATCATCCTCCACTCTGTGCTTGCTCCATCCTTCATGACTCTGTCCTCGCTCCATCCTCCTCCACTCTGTGCTCGTTCCATCCTCCACTCTCTCCTCGCTCCATTCTTCTCCACTCTCTCATCACTCCATACTCCTCCACTCTGCCCTCGCTCCTTCCTCCTCCACTCTGACATCACTCTATCCTGCTCCACTCTGTCCTAGCTCCATCCTCCTCCACTCTGTCCTCGCTCCATTGTCCTCCACTCTGTCCTTGCTCCATCCACCTCCACTGTGTCCACGCTCCATCCTCCTCCACTCTGCCTTCACTTCATGTTCCTCCACTCTGTCCTCACTCCATCCTTCTCCACTCTGTCCTCGCTCCATTGTCCTCCACTCTGTCCTCGCTCCATCCACCTCCACTGCGTCCATGCTCCATCCTCCTCCACTCTGTCTTCACTTCATGCTCCTCCACTCTGCCCTCGCTCCTTCCTCCTCCACTCTGACATCACTCTATCCTGCTCCACTCTGTCCTCGCTCCATCCACCTCCACTGTGTCCTTGCCTCCATTCTCCTGGCCTCTGTCCTTACTCCAGCCTTTACTCTGTCATCACTCCATCCTCCTCCACTCTGTAATCACTCCATATTCCTCCACTCTGTCCTCGCTGAATCATCCTCCACTCTGTGCTCGTTCCATCCTCCACTCTCTCCTCGCTCCATTCTTCTCCACTCTGTCATCACTCCATACTCCTCCACTCTGCCCTCGCTCCTTCCTCCTCCACTCTGACATCACTCTATCCTGCTCCACTCTGTCCTACCTCCATCATCCTCCACTCTGTCCTCGCTCCATTGTCCTCCACTCTGTCCTCACTCCATCCACCTCCACTGTGTCCACGCTCCATCCTCCTCCACTCTGCCTTCACTTCATGCTCCTCCACTCTGGCCTCACTCCATCCTTCTCCACTCTGTCCTCGCTCCATTGTCCTCCACTCTGTCCTCGCTCCATCCACCTCCACTGTGTCCATGCTCCATCCTCCTTCACTCTGTCTTCACTTCATGCTCCTCCACTCTGTCCTCATTCCATCCTTCTCCACTCTGTCCTTGCTCCATTGTCCTCCACTTTGTTCTCGCTCCATCCTTCTCCACTCAGTCCTCGCTCCATCATCTACTGTGTCCTCGCTCAATGCTCCTCCAATATGTCCTCGCACCATACTCCTCCACTCTGTCCTCGCTAAATCTACCATTTTGTCCTCACTCCATTCTCCTGCACTCCATCCTCGCTCCATTCTCCTTAACTCTGTCCTCACTGCATCCTCCTCTACTTTGACCTCACTCCATCCTCCGCCAATGTGACCTCACTCGATCCTTCTCCACTCTTTCCTTGCTCAACCCTCATCCACTCTGTGTTCGTTTCATCCTCTACTCTGTCATCACTCCATACTCCTCCACTTTGTCCTTGCTCCATTCTTCTCCACTCTGTGCTCGCTCCATCATCCACCACTCTGTCCTCGCTCCATCCTCTATTCTGTCCTTGCTCAATCCTACTCGACTCTGTCCTTGCTCTACCCTCATCCACTCTCTCCTTGTTCCATCCTCCTCCACTCTATCTGCGCTCCATCTTCCTCAACTTTGACTTCACTTCACGCTCCTCCACTCTGTCCTCGGACAATACTCCTCCACTCTGTCTTCGTGCCATTCTCTACTATGTCTTCGCTCAATCCTCCTCCACTTTGTCCTCGCTCCATCCTCCTGCCATCTGTCCTTGCTTCATCCTTCATTCTGTCCTCACTGCATCCTCCTCCACTCTGTAATCACTCCATATTCCTCCACTCTGTCCTCGCTGAATCATCCTCCACTCTGTGCTTGCTCCATCCTTCTTGACTCTGTCCTCGCTCCATCCTCCTCCTCTCTGTTCTCGTTCCATCCTCCACTCTCTCCTTGCTCCATTCTTCTCCACTCTGTCATCACTCCATACTCCTCCACTCTGCCCTCGCTCCTTCCTCCTCCACTCTGACATCACTCTATCCTGCTCCACTCTGTCCTACCTCCATCCTCCTCCACTCTGTCCTCGCTCCATTGTCCTCCACTCTGTCCTCGCTCCATCCACCTCCACTGTGTCCACGCTCCATCCTCCTCCACTCTGCCTTCACTTCATGCTCCTCCACTCTGGCCTCACTCCATCCTTCTCCACTCTGTCCTCGCTCCATTGTCCTCCACTCTGTCCTCGCTCCATCCACCTCCACTGTGTCCATGCTCCATCCTCCTCCACTCTGTCTTCACTTCATGCTCCTCCACTCTGTCCTCATTCCATCCTTCTCCACTCTGTCCTCGCTCCATTGTCCTCCACTTTGTTCTCGCTCCATCCTTCTCCACTCAGTCCTCGCTCCATCATCTACTGTGTCCTCGCTCAATGCTCCTCCAATATGTCCTCGCACCATACTCCTCCACTCTGTCCTCGCTAAATCTACCATTTTGTCCTCACTCCATTCTCCTGCACTCCATCCTCGCTCCATTCTCCTTAACTCTGTCCTCACTGCATCCTCCTCTACTTTGACCTCACTCCATCCTCCGCCAATGTGACCTCACTCGATCCTTCTCCACTCTTTCCTTGCTCAACCCTCATCCACTCTGTGTTCGTTTCATCCTCTACTCTGTCATCACTCCATACTCCTCCACTTTGTCCTCGCTCCATTCTTCTCCACTCTGTGCTCGCTCCATCATCCACCACTCTGTCCTCGCTCCATCCTCTATTCTGTCCTTGCTCAATCCTACTCGACTCTGTCCTTGCTCTACCCTCATCCACTCTCTCCTTGTTCCATCCTCCTCCACTCTATCTGCGCTCCATCTTCCTCAACTTTGACTTCACTTCACGCTCCTCCACTCTGTCCTCGGACAATACTCCTCCACTCTGTCTTCGTGCCATTCTCTACTATGTCTTCGCTCAATCCTCCTCCACTTTGTCCTCGCTCCATCCTCCTGCCATCTGTCCTTGCTTCATCCTTCATTCTGTCCTCACTGCATCCTCCTCCACTCTGTAATCACTCCATATTTCTCCACTCTGTCCTCGCTGAATCATCCTCCACTCTGTGCTTGCTCCATCCTTCTTGACTCTGTCCTCGCTCCATCCTCCTCCACTCTGTTCTCGTTCCATCCTCCACTCTCTCCTTGCTCCATTCTTCTCCACTCTGTCATCACTCCATACTCCTCCACTCTGCCCTCGCTCCTACCTCCTCCACTCTGACATCACTCTATCCTGCTCCACTCTGTCCTAGCTCCATCCTTCTCCACTCTGTCCTCGCTCCATTGTCCTCCACTCTGTCCTCGCTCCATCCACCTCCACTGTGTCCACGCTCCATCCTCCTCCACTCTGCCTTCACTTCATGCTCCTCCATTCTGTCCTCACTCCATCCTTCTCCACTCTGTCCTCGCTCCATTGTCCTCCACTCTGTCCTCGCTCCATCCACCTCCACTGTGTCCACGGTCCATCCTCCTCCACTCTGTCTTCACTTCATGCTCCTCCACTCTGTCCTCATTCCATCCTTCTCCACTCTGTCCTCGCTCCATTGTCCTCCACTTTGTTCTCGCTCCATCCTTCTCCACTCAGTCCTCGCTCCATCATCTACTGTGTCCTCTCTCAATGCACCTCCAATATGTCCTCGCACCATACTCCTCCACTCTGTCCTCGCTAAATCTACCATTTTGTCCTCACTCCATTCTCCTGCACTCCATCCTCGCTCCATTCTCCTTAACTCTGTCCTCACTGCATCCTCCTCTACTTTGACCTCAC